AATCCATTTCTCTAAACTTTCTTCTGAAGTTCAGGGTTCCCAAATTTTTTTCCTGTGTCTCTTTCATTTGGTCTCTCATATCTTTGTTGTAGAGAGTCTGCCTAGTCTACCATCTTGCCAGAAGCCCTGATTTCTAATTTTTATTGTATTTCTTACTGGTTATTCTGGTGTAGGGAAGTGTTATTAAGTTTTGTAAGTTGTTCTTATAGCTAGAAACCTCAATAAATTATTTGTTAACTTCAATGGTTTGTTGTTGTTGTTGTTTTTTAACCTAAGATGATCATGTGGTTGTTATGTGCTGTGTAGTCAGTTCTGACCATAGTGACCCTGTATATGGTTTCTAAGACTGAAAATCTTTATAGGAGCAGAAAACCTCATCTTTCTTCTGCAGAGTGGCTGGTAGATTTGAACTGCTGACCTTGTGGTTAGCTGCCCAACTGGTAACCCATTACGCTACCAGAGCTCCTTGAGATGAGCATATGATATACTAATAACAATAGTTTTATCTAGTTCTCTCACTTCTCTCTTTTTAACTTGTTAATTAGCTTGGGAATTCAATGTTTTGTTAAACAGTCATCATGATGTTGTCAAGTGCCTTGCAAAGGGTTTTCTAGGAACAGCTGGTATGTTTAAACTGCTCACCTTGTAGTTAGCAGTATAGTGCTTATCCTGCATTGCCACATCAAGAAAGACCTGTTGTCATTGTATTGAGTACCTAAAATTTTCCATTATTTATACTGTTTGTTGGAGTGCTGATGTGGCGCTATTGGTTAATGTGCCAGACTGCAAAGCCATTTGAACTGCAAGGTCAGTGGTTCAAGCTCACCAGCTGTTCCTCGGAAACCCTATACAGGGTCGCTATGGGTCGGAACTGACTCGATGGCACTTACCAACAACAACAACAATACTGTTTGTTGGAGTGCTGGTGTGGCGCTGTGGGTTAATGCACTGGACTGCAAAGTTGTTTGAACTACAAGGTTGGTGCTTCAAGCTCACCAGCTGCTCCTTGGAAACCCTATACAGGGTTGCTATGAGTTGGAACTGACTCGACGGCACGCTACAACAACAGTGAGCTGAAATGGACTGGCATTTGCCATTTTGAATCAGGCATTCATATGCTGGGAACAACAAATTAAAGAAGAATGGTATCACATTCATTGTCAAGAAGAACATTTCAAGATCTAACTTGAAGTACAATGCTGTCTGTGATAGGATAATATCTACACACTTATAAGGAAGACTAGTTAGTACCACTATTATTCAAATTTATGCACCAACCACTAAAGCCAGTGATGAAGAAATTGAAGAATTCTACCAACTTATTCAGTCTGAATTTGAATAAGCTTTCAATCAAGATATATTGATAATTACTGGTGATTGGAATGCAAAGGTTGGAAACAAAGAGGAAGGATCAGTAATTGGAAAATATGGTCTTAGTGATAGAAATGATACTGGAGATCACATGATAAAATTTTGCAAAACCAGTGACTTATTCATTGCAAGTAGAGCAGCTAAGGACTCTAGGCCCATGCACTGTGAAAGGCTTGTGTCTACAGACAGGAACTGGCTTGGAAAGTGTGCCCTTTGGACATTTAAACGAATATGTATTTTCCATTTTGTACATGTATAGCAAAATAAAGGGGATAGAGGTAAGTACTGTTGACTGATGGTACATGGAGGGGATTGTGATCGTTGCAATGAAACAAAATATGATTTATTGAATGTAAAACTGATAATTTGCCCTGTAAACTTCCACTCAATTCACAATAAAAGCTTTTTTAAAATGCTATTAATACTACAAGTTGTTGGATAGTGTACAGTTTGCTCTCGACTACAAATTCCAAGATTGGTGGTTGGAATCCACTCATTTGCACCCTGGGAGAAAGGCCTGATGATCTACTTCTGAAATATCAGCCACTTAAAACTCGATGAGCACAATTCTATTTTGAAACCCATAGGGTTGCCATAAGTTGGGGCTGACTTGGTAGCAACAGGTTTAGTTATTTAAAAATTTTTTTTAAATGAGACTTCTATTTGACGGATTTCCTTCTTTGCTTTCACCACTTTGTAGTAGTGAGCCAATACTTTATTATCCATCTACAGTTGGCTGATAAATTAGTGTGCTGTTAAACCAGCTCTCCAGGGAAAAAACAGAAAAGTTCTAATCGGTACCATTGCTGATTGCTGTAGTATAAAAATTCCACCACGGTCAATATTAAGCTACTAATGGTTAACAACCGGCTTGGGAAATTTTAAACTATTTTACGATCTGCTCTTGCTAGCCAGCACAAAATGGCTCTGGCACGCCATCTGGCTTTCTCTTTTTAAAAAGGTATTCGTGTTATATATTAGTCTTACTTGTTAGCTTCACTTATTATTATTTTTTTAAAATTTTATTCTCCCTTTGCCCCAATTTCTTCTTCTATTTTAATTGTGTCTGCCTTTGCAATCTACTACAAACCCTTTTTGGAATGAAAGGCATAAATAAAAATTATTTAATAATTACATTTCTTTATGCCATTAAGAAGACACTGTCATTTGGCCTAAGAAGAAAAATTAAGTCTTCTAATTTAAAAAGGTTTAAATCTAGTTCAGTTCTCCAAGTTTTTGCTGTGTTGATTAGGGTTTGTCCCATGCCTGTGCAGCTCAGGGATGACTCATATGGCTTCATGCACCGGGTTAGGGAATCCCCTTCTCCAGCTCTCCCCTCTTGGAGATCCCCTCCTCCCACTCTCTTGCCCACAGGGTCCCCTTTTCTCAGTCCCTCAGGCCAGAAAGTTGGTCTTTCTCCCTGAGTGTTTACACTGCTACTGCAGCGCAGCTCTGCATTTCAGAGCAAACTCTGAAATGGAAAGACAAAGGAAAATTAGAGAGGTAAAAACCACCTCTCCCACACCCCCCCCAGGGTTGCCCCTCCCAGTTTTGACAATCTTCACAGTCCACCTGCTCTTATTTACTTTTCAAAATCCTCGGGTATTTGCTTTTTTGAGTTCTGTCCAGAATTTCTAGTTGTGATCAGTGGGAGAGAGAGCCTTAAATGATGATTTGTAAACTCAAAATAAATATCATGGCTAGAAAAACCTTGGGGTACTAGTAATCTTAGATTCTTCCCCCTCTCCACCCCCATTCAAACCAAACACATGCTCAAGGGCACATAATTGTTTCAGAGTAATTTGGATTTGTATGTTCAGCTGAAGATCCAGAAAGAGCAGACAGAAGCTTCCTGGTGGGCTCCTGAAATTTTGTTGAATACACTCGTACTTCTAAACTGCTCACATCTAACCAACATGACATAAAGTATCAGAGCTACAAATCACCTTAGATTTACACTTTTAAGATGAGGGCTCACAGAAAGTGAACAAATCATTTGTCCTGTTACTCAACAAGGGCATGACAAAGACAGGACCAGAACTCACCTTTGTTGAATACTATTACTTAAGTACCTGGGCCTCCACACTGATAATCTACTTAGGAGTCCAAACTCACACACATGAAGGGTAAAGAGAGATAAGGGAGTGGGTGTTTCAGGGACTGGGTGTGGAGCAGTTTCTATGTGCTGAATCAGTTCTCTTCAGGTTAGAGTAGGCTGTTGAGATTCTGAGGTTGTAAATCTTTATGGGAGTAGAAAGCCTCATCTTAAGGAGTGTGGAGCAGCTGGTGAGTTTGAACTGCCAACCTTACATTTAGCAGTCTAGTGCTAATCCTAAGGTGTCGCCAGGACTCCTTGTTATTGGAGTGTTGTTGTTGTTGTGTGCTGTGGAGTCGGTTCTGACTCATAGCGACCTTGTACAGGGTTTCTGAAGCTGTAAATCTTTATGGGAGCAGAAAACCTCATTTTTCTCCCACGGAACAACTGGTAGTTTCGAACTGCTGACCTTAAGGTTCGCAGGCTGATTCGTAACCACTACGCTAGTTATTGGAGTTGTTGTTGTTGTTGTTAAGTACCGTGGAGTCGGTTCTGACTCATAGTAACCCTGTGCAGGGTTTCCGAGGCTGTAAATCTTTACGGGAGCAGAACGCCTCATCTTTCTCCCGTGGAACTGATGGTAGTTTCGAACTGCTGACCTTGAGGTTAGCAGCCCTATTCGTAACCACTGCGCTAGGCTGGGCTAATTAGTACAGATTTCAAGGGCCAAGGTGATACAGAGCTTGAGGAGTGGTAGAGGAAGGGCGGAAAGGTTGGCTGTTTGAGCCCACCCAGAGATGTCTGACAAGACAAACCTGACTATTTCTGAAAGTAACAGGTTTGAAAACCCTATGGAACAATTCTACTCTGACACACATGGAACTGTCAGGAGCCGGAAATGACGTGATAACAACTGAAAACAACAACGGAAAGGGCATATGGCAAAAAATAAATAAATAAAAAATTCTACTTTCTGAACTTGGTCAAGTGACTTAATGTTTCTAAACCTCCATCTTTCCTTAAATACAATCAATAATGGCATCTAATGTTTTTTTTTTTTTTTTTCTTCTTCTTTGAATTCAAGAGATAAAGTTTATTAACATAATAAATGTAGTTTTTTTTTGTCATTATAATTATTACTTGAAATTTATGTGTTCCCCAAATATTTAGGCATTGATCATGTATTGGTCTTTAATGTGAATGAATATATTATGAAAGGAATCTTTTTTTAAATGTGACTTAGCTGGTATTCTTAGCTAATTCTCATGTGTGCCATTTTCTCATCTACCCATCAATCTTAGCAGTAAAGGAATGAGCCCGGACTCTTCACTTGTGCTTTTGTCCCTCAGGCATTAGAATGAGAGTGTCTTATTGCTTCTAACATTACAGACTTGTTCAGTATGTAATGACCTGTCATGTATAGGGATCCTTCTAGTTCTTGGAGTTCCCCCTTACTTCCTCTGGGAAAGATGTTTTAGAACTGGAGGCCAAAGAATAAAAACAATGGCCTGGCATCTGGAAAGGATGGTACCCATTCCCCAAGCTTCAGCTCCCTGAACACACATTTCCAGTTGACCATACCAGTTCTGGTACCAGAGTTTATTACAAAATATTGAAGGGGAGTCTGAAGAAGATTCACTCATCATAGAATTTCGGCAGCTCATTGCCCAAGATTACTCGATGATCCACACCAGCAGCTGTGATAGTGACCAGGTAGATGACTCCCCCACTAGAGCCATCCCGGCTCATGGCTAGCGCAATAGCTGCAGAGAGGTTCAAGATGGAGAGAGGGAGAGAGAATGGCTTAGCTTCAGAAGTCTTTGCCTTTCCCTCATATCCATATAATTTGTCTTATCACTTTAAGATCTCAAAACCCATTTCCCAGAGGAGCATATTTGTGCTGGTAAACCAGCTAGAAAAGAAAGCTTTGATTTGTAGCATCTTCCAATGTTCATGGTGTAAATACTCCTATTGTGCTTGATTTCAAGTTATCAACGGTTTAATAAGCAATTGGAAAAATCCTATAATACTTAACGATCAACTTTCATGAACTAGCCCAAGTCAGCCCTAGTATACCACTGATTCTTACAGTGATTAAACATCCTAATTTGATTTACTTAGGACAGTACTGAATTATGTTTATTTTCCTAAAATCCATCTAGTTTAGCATTTGTCCTGCCCACTTTAACTCTCAAAAGTGTCCCAGGTTGGGATATTAAATGATCACCCATGTATTTCTTTTCCTGATTCTCATTATTAATTTCCTTCTCAAGTCAAAAAAACCCACCCAGGTTCCCTTCCACTTGGTCAATTACCATCTGTGGTGAAACGCCTGCACTCCTCAGGGGACATGCCTGGTTTATATGCTGCATCCACATAACCGTAAATATAGGTGCTGCCGGAGCCACCAATGGCAAAGGGCTGTCGAGTCAGCATTCCTCCCAGGGTTCCGTACACCTAGGAAAGACATCCTCAGATCAGACTAAAGAAGCATCCACTCTCTTCTTCTCACTGAGACAGGCAGTCACATGGCCGATCACTCTGCAATGAAGCCCCAGTACCTAATACCCCAACAACTGAGATGCTGAACAATGTTTTTAAGGGCAGTGTCTTTGATACTCACTACTAAAATGACATATGACCTCTGTCTCCCTCTATAGGGAAGTGGGAAACACCAAGACAAGGAGTGGGCTGGGAAGAACTCACTTGGCCCCCTTCACGTTGGTCCCAACCAGCTACCATGAGATGTGCAGAAAGGTCTTCTCGATATTTATAGGTTATATTCTTCACTATGTGGGCAGCAGCCAGAACAAGAGGAGATTCTTCTAGTTCCATCCTGAAGTAATTATTAGGAATAGAAGTTGACATAATTTCTTCAAGTCCAACTGCCTGTGCCATTATCACCATCCCTGCCAAGTGGCAATCTGAAACCTATAGCTCAATAGTTCAAACTCCAACTTGTTTCATGCCATCAATTTATAAAGACTTTCACTTGTCTATTCCCACCCTCTAATCACATAACTCTCTTTGTCTGCAAAGTCCCTCCCTTGTGGATAAAGCCAGATAAACTTTGCTTCCGTCCCAATAGCCTTGATTTCTCATACAGTCCTGGTGTGGCACTGTGGGTTAATGCGCTGGACTGCAAAGATGGTTCGAACCACAAGGTCGGCGGTTCGAGCTCACCAGTTGCTCCTTGGAAACCCTTCATAGAGTTGCTATGGGTCAGAACTGACTCGACAGCACTTAGCAACAACAACTTTACTTGGGTGGTGCAAATGGTTAAGTGCTCAATTTTACAATTTCTTAAGAACAACTTCCTAAGTACTAGGGAATGTGCTGGGCATTATTGGAGCCAACACACACACAATCTCATAGCAAGACAAGACTAATACACATGAAAGGGTGAAGAGTACTATGAGACTGGCGGTTTCAAGGGTCGGGGTGTGGAGAACCACCCCTTCCCCATGCCCATCAGCTAAGACTTCTGGGTAAGATTTTGAGCTGGGACCCTAATCTGTGTGGGGCAGATCCGCTCAGTCCTGATGGGTAGGGTTCCACTAACTACCCACTGCTGTGGAGTCCATTCTGATTAATGACTCTCCTACAGGACAGAGGAGAACTGCTCCTTAGGGTTTCCGAGGCCGCAAATCTTTATGGAAGCAAATTGCCTCTTCTTTCTCTTACAGAGCAGCTGGTGGGTTCAAATCACTGACCTTTCATTTAGGAGTCCAATCCTTAACCCATTATGCCTCCCAAACTCTGAAGGGTAGGGTAGGGTTGGCACTATTATCTCCACTTTATAACTACAGAAACTGGCTTAGAGAAATTCAAGTGCCTGTTTAAAGTCAATACATGCTGGAATAACAATAACAATTTTTTTTAGCCTCCCAATGTAGTGCTCCTGCATTGTAAAGAGGTTTACAAATTGGGGAAGCTCTAATGAGCGTGGAGTAAGGACGGACTCCAGTGCCAGTGGAAATGCATACCCATGGAGCTCCAACTGGTAGGCGGCCATGTCTGCCACAGCCTGGGCATCAGCAGCTGACCCAGAGAGTGCACAGTAGATGTGTTGGTGTAGAGGGGCCAGCTTGTCAAACACTCGGTTCACTACTGCCTCTCTGCCAAGAAGGAGTAAACAGTTATCAGCGTTAGAGTTGGCAGACATTTTTGAGGTTAATTACCGAATGCTTGTCAAGTCTATTTTACGAGAGAGGTAGCCATAGAGTGTGTGAAATGTAATGCTTAGATTCAAACAGAAAGAAAAAAATATAGTCTTACAGATAAATGAATTAATTAAAATCAGATTTATTTTCAGGGTAAATCTTATGACAAAAAAAAAAAAACTTAGTTAAGAAGTTAAGAAAGATATTCCTCTTATCAATTTTTTCTTTGCTATTAACCATCTTGAGGGCATTTAGTATTCCATGGAGTATAATGGAAGTGATATTGATCTAATCCCATGTGAAGGAACTTTTTGCATGTGAAGGAACTGTGACCAGGTGTGGGGGAGAGATAAAATTAGTTCAACACGCCATAAATGAGAAACTAGAATGTCCATCTGGCAGAACCATCTCTTCTAGCCCTAAACACAGATGAAAGGAGGGCTCCTACAGTCCCCTTCTCAGGCCCCCATTCCTTTATATTAATCCCTGATAGTTGCCAGGACAGGCCACATAAGTATTCACAACCTAGATTCTGCTCCATCAACCAACAGACCCATGCATCCACCCAATATCTTATTATTAATATCGCTTAATTCTGAAAGGTCAACTCCATTTTTCCCAAAGCTCAAGACCATCAATCTTTAAATGAATGGATTTTAAAAAAAGTATATTTGGGACCATTAACTTCCTTCCAAATCCATACACTTTCACTAGTACTCACCCTGCAGATACTCGGGAATCAGAACCCACCACGACGCCACCATCAAACTCCACTGCCATGATGGTTGTCTGTAGAGACAGAGAATGTAATGTCAGAGCAGATAGAACCTTGATTTCTGCATGGGAATTGGGAGCATTCCTAGAGAAGAGAAGTGACTGGTACAAAAACATAAAGTCATCCAAGCCAGAGCTCACTCCCAGTATAGGATTTTTCCCCTCCATTTCTATTTTTTCTATTATTTTATCTGGCTGCAAGAGAACGTCATAGCTTGGCCATGGTGCAACATAGAAAGAACGACATTCCTAAGCTCCAATTTCTTAAGTGGAATCCTTTCACTCTAAAGGGAGAAATGGGAATGAAGCGCGTCTAGAGGTGGATGTGCTCCCTTTGAGGAAAGAGCTCATCTGACTGTGTGTGGAGTAGACCCACAAGTGAACTGTCTCCACTTCATGCACTTGTCCACTTCATGCTCCAGTGTGTGTAGATGTGGCACAGACCGAACACAGAGAGAGTTACTATGGATATGGGGTCATGTTTTTTCTGGAAGGTCTTAAATCCTCTATCTTCAGTCCCATTTAGTCAGGAGTGAACACTTTCAGTTTACTGAACAATGGAAAGCAGCAAAGAACGTGTGAGACAGTTTAAAATAAAAGTTTCACTGAATGAGTTTCTGATTAGGAGGTAAGTAGATTCCTCAAGTAGCCAGGGGGAGAGATCTGCACCAAGAAAGGCTATGACTGGAGAGTTTGAACCAACATTTCCAATCAAGAAAAGAATGAAGGAAGATAAAATTACTGTGGCCCTACTCCCATTGATTTAGGAGGAGCCTTAACTATCATTTGGTTTACATGAGGAAACTGAGTCATAGAGAAGGCAACTGACTTATTCAAGGCTGTTGTTAAGTGCCATTGAGTCGGTTCTGACTCATAGTCATCTTATCTGTACAGGGGTTCCGAGGAACGGCTGGTGGGTTTGAGCCACTGACCTTGTAGTGAGCAGTAGTGTTTGTCCTATGCAGAATTAATAGCAGAATTGTGACTAAAACCCAGGTCTTTCTACTTCTGACATTTGGTAGTGAGGGGAGCATTCTAACTTGTAAAGGGCGTATTTGCTTTTCTCACCACTCCATAGTTACTCAGGCCCTGGAGGATGTTGACTTGAATTTGCTTTCTGATTACAGATTTACCATGAAGAGAAGTGCCAGAGGACAAGAGCAACCCCATCCTGAAGGTTATTACTTTATAACATACCGTTTCCTAAACCAACTGTAGTGGCAATAGTCTAGGAGCAGAAACTATCCAGTCTTGGGGCTGCTATCTGCCCTAGCACCCAGCCTGGGTAAAGTTCCCAGAGGGCATGTAGGGTTGGGCACCTGGGGCAAGCAGTAATCTTCCTGGGCCAAGCTGGGGAAGGGTCCTGCGAGCTGACACGAAACCCCTATTATCAGCGGCTCAGGGGCTAGTTACCAAAGGGCTATGTGATGAGCTGGCCCTTCTCAATCAGCGCCATATTCCTTCCTCCCAAATGTTGTCCTTACTTCACTCAGGGCACATTTCCTCATCTCTTTTCACCGGTTCATCCACTCTCTTGATTTCATCAAGCCCTCTGACCAAACAAACACACCCACTAGCCATAAGTGGATTCTGACCCTACAGGACAGATTAGAACTGCCCCATAGGATTTCTGAGACTCCACGGCCCGACACACCACCACCACCATCAAATCTTTACAGAAGCAGGTCGCCTCATCTTTCTCTCATGGAATAGCTAGTGGGTTGGAATCACTGACGCTTCGATAAGTAACCCACTGCCCCACTGGGCTCCCTTGACCAGACAAGAGTGAAAGCGAAAGCGCTTTAGAAGAGCTTCCCCTTGACGGTTCCAGCGAAGAGACAAAGCAACCCCTTTCCATGAACTCCGTCCCTTCGCGTTCCTCCAGATGACCGCCTATGCTGGGCTGCGAAATACAAAGTCAGCAGTTCAAACCCACCAGCTGCTCCTTGGAAACCCTGTACAGGGTCCCTAAGAGTCGTAACCCATTCAAAGGCACATAACTACAACAACATGCTGGCGCTTTAGGATGAGCACTCGACCATAAGGTCGGTTTGAACTGCAAGATAGGCGGGTCAAACTTAGCAGTCGCTCCTCGGAAACCCTACACAGGGTCGCTATGAGTTGGAACCGGCTGGACGGCACTTAACAACATGCTTACTGCGGGGTGCAAGCACTACTGCTATAAGCCATCTCCCCACACTTGTTAGTCTTCTCATTTCAGGGTACTCAGTGCTTGCAGGGTTCCCCTGCCGATCTACTTCTACTTCCTCCACGCCTCTGCTAGCCCTCAAGCCCAAAACCCATTACCCCGGTGTGGACTTCTCCGGTCCCGGGGAGCTCCCCAGCTGGTACTCCTGCGCGCAGCATCTCGCCTGGAGTTGCGCTCGGCGCTGCCTGCGCTCTGGTTTCGGACCTGGGACAGCGCGCGGCGCACTGCCTACAGCCCCGCCCCTTCCTCTGGCCCGTCAGGGGGCGCCCGAGGCCTCTGGGTAAGGCTTCCCGCCGGGACAGTAACCCGTTTGGGGCAGATCTGCCTGGAGACAGGTGACGAAAGAGCCCAGCCCTAAAGCGAGGAAGAGAAAATCCGGGCAAGGGGATGTCTCTGTAGAAACAGGGAGATGAGGTTCCAGGGCTTCCCCCTAGAATCTCACAGCTGATTTAAACGCCAGATCTTCAAGTAGTCCAGACTGGCCCTGCTTGGAAGTGGGCGGATCCAGCGGGTCAGTGGCCGCTTTCGATTTCTCTTTCTTCTAAAAGACTGCTCTTCTCGCCTGCGCTCCCAGGGTCTCCGCATTCTGGAGGCTTTTGCCGGAGTCCCGCCCACTGTCTTCTATCCCGGAGTCAGCTCGGACACAGACGCCGACCGGACGCAGAATTCAGCCCAGCAGGAATATCCCAGGCCAGGCCAGGACTCGGGACAGCACACGCTAGCCGATGGCCAACTCAGAGTCTCCCGCTTTCCGCGGGTGCCACTGCTTCCCCCGAGCTTGGTGTGCGTGGCTGGGGGCGACGTTGCTGCTTCTCGTGGACTGGTTGCTGCTCAGAGCAGTCATCTTCCTGGTGCCCAAGGGTCTGCCGCTCCTCTGGGTCTGGGCGGTGGGTCTGAGCCGCTGGGCTGTGCTGAGGCTGGGGGCCTGCGGGATTCTCAGGGTCACGGCCAACTCCCAGAAAGAAAGCGCACGAGGCCAGGGTTGGCTGGCTGTTTTAGAGCCACTGGCCGCGGCGCTAGGCTTGGCCCTGCCGGGACTTGCCTTGTTCAGACAACTAGGCTCATGGGGCGTCTCCAGGGACACTGATAGCACCAGACTGCTGCACCGGGCAAGTCGCCCCGACGCTTTCGCCCTTAGCTACGCGGCAGCACTGCCCGCAGCCGTCCTGTGGCACATACTCGAGAGCCTGTGGGTGCCAGGCAGCCAAGGGAGTTCGGGAGTGATGCGACTACTACGCTGCCTAGGCCCTGAGATACGTCGCTACCCGCTGGTTCTGGTCCTGTTGATCTTGTCTTGTCTCGGTAAGGGGGTTGGGTGGGGTAGGATGCAAGGGCAGGAATCAAGGGTCAGCGAGGCAGGGTAATGTGGGTTTGGGGAACTGCGGATAAACTGGAAGTTGACCACTCTGGTCCACTTAGGGGGATCACTCTTTAGCAGTGGACTGGGTGGGGTGACAGAAATCACGGACTCCAGTCCTGCCCTAGACATTACTTCACCTGGGTCTCTTGGGCAAGTTTTTTCCTCTTGGGTTGCAGCATCCTCATCTCTCACTTGCTCGAGGCTTACTAATTAAACTCCTGTGAGGTCTTGCAAGTTGTGAGTTCCAGGGCAGCTTATTCAGATGTGGAATCCTGACCCCAGTGTGTTCTTTCTGTGGTAGTGGTGGGGCAGTCTGTTAGAGATGACCTGCTTAGATTTAATATTTGTTACTGACAGAGTTCTCTTTCACCCCAGGGGAGATGGCCATTCCATTCTTCACTGGTCGCATCGCAGACTGGGTTCTACAAGATGGGACAGCGACTGCCTTTACCACAAACATAACTCTCATGTCTCTTCTCACCATAGCCAGGTCTGGGGTCTGGGGTCTGGGGTCTGGGGAAGGCTGAGACTGGTGCACTCGGTACATAGGGTTGTTATGAGTCAGATCTGACTCCATGACCCCTAATAACAGCAAGAGAAAAAAGGAGCTGCAAGTTGGGGCTGTGCTTTAGAGTCCTCCCCTCTCCATTCCGGGCCCCCCCCACCCCACTCATCGTGACCCCCTTTCACTCTGCTTCTCTCTAGTGCAGTGCTGGAATTCCTGGGTGATGGGATCTATAACAGAACCATGGGTCACATGCACAGCCGCTTGCACAAAGAAGTGTTTCAGGCTGTCCTTCGCCAAGAGACAGAGTTTTTCCAACAGAACCAAACAGGTGCCTCACAAACTCTTTCATTATAAGTCCATTTACTCTTTATAACCCCATATGTTCTCTTTTACTTATTTTCTCTCTGTGTCTTGTTTATATATGCATTGTTGTTGCATATTCTTGGTATACCTCCAGTCTGAGCAAAAATAGTTATTTTTACCTTCCATAAAATGTAGCTTTTCCATTCAAGATTTCCCTACAAATCTAAGCCTGTATATCCTTAAATAAAAGTATATCATTTCAAAACTGGAAAGTTTTTAAGATCATGGAGTCCTAAATGCATCAGTTTCCAGAGAAGGAAACTCAGACCTTCATTCAAAATGCTAAAAATGGACTGGTCCCCTAATGAATTGAGGGAAGTCTTTTGATTTCCAGTGCAGCAGTGCTGATTATAGGCACTATTTCTTTCCTTCCATTTCCACTATATTCATCCATCTTAAGCCCTTTCTGCCTATGTGTAGATCATAGGATATATGAACAGGCTTCATAAAAAATTCATGGAAAACTTCCATGATCTTTTAATTCCATTTTTCATGACCTTTTTGAAGTCCCCTCATACAAGTTCTTTCAGGAGCAGAAAGATTTCAGAGAAATAGAAATTCACATCAAATTCCTCAAAGTTAAAATGAACGTCTTCAGCGAGGCTTCTCAGCTCTAACACTAATTTCTCCTTGCATTGAAATTCTCAATTGCCCAGATACTACTGTGTGACCTTATTTGCCCCAGCTCCTTTAAAACACCGTATTGACACTGTAACTCCTGAGACCTTGGATCATTATTTGTCCTTCTCACTACTCAGAACCCATCTTATTCACTCCACACTCTTCTTCCCAACCTCTGGTAGGTGCTATCACGTCTCGGGTAACAGAGGACACAGCCACCCTGAGTGATTCTCTGAGTGATAAACTGAACCTGCTGATGTGGTACCTGGTACGGGGACTGTGTCTCTTGGGGCTCATGCTCTGGGGGTCACTGTCCCTCACCATGGTCACCCTGGCCACCCTGCCTGTACTATTCCTTCTGCCTAAGAAGCTGGGGAAATGGCATCAGGTATGTTCAGGATGTTGGCTCAACCTACATGGATGCTTTGCCTTCCAGACTTGGAAGATTCAGTTTCTCTCAGTACAACTTTGTTAGTATCTTCACTGATTGTCTGTCTCCAAGGAACTCCGTATCTCTGCAGTCTGTGTTCCTAGATTGCTCATTGTTGGTCTTCATAGTCTCCATGTCTTCCCTTCTAATTTCAGTCTACAATGCGTCTTTAAGAATATGACCCTCAGCCCTTTCTGATTCACTGTCTCTCTCTTGTATCTGTCTAGTATCTGCCTGTATCCTTTGCTTTTCTCTCTTGTCTCTGTCTCATCTCACTTTTAATCTCCAAAGAGGTGCTCAGGTCCTTGTGTCCCTCATGGCTTCCTGACCCTATGTGACATCTCCTTTCTATGTATCCACAGTTGTTGGCAGTACGTGTGCAGGAATCTCTGGCAGAGTCTAGCCAGGTGGCTGTTGAGGTCCTGTCAGCTATGCCTACAGTCCGGAGCTTTGCCAACGAGGAGGGTGAGAACCAGAGGTTTAGGCAAAAGCTGGAAGAAATGAAGACACTCGGCCAGCAAGAGGCACTGGCTTATACAGTCAACTCGTGGACCACCAGTGTGAGCACTTGGAAATGAATGCCCATTCCTTTGTCCCTGAGATACCTCAACTCCAATCTCTTCCCCATGATCTTGCTCCCAACTCATCCTTCACTAAGAAATGATTGGTCCAGTGTTCTCATTCTAGAAAACGGAGGCTCAATTACCCTATTCCTAAACATGTATTTCACACCCTCCCTCATTTTAGAGATTCGAGGTGACTTCTTTTCACTATGGTACCCCAAATCCTCTCCAATTTCCCTTTTAGGGAGTTACTGTGTCTTCCAATTCTTGCATTTTCCTTTACCTCTTAGGGGAAGCTCAGGGAGTCATAAATCCGTGCATCTGGAACCACTTCATGCTGGAAGTGAGGGCCAGGGGAGTAGGGACGCCAGGGCTGAGGGGCATCTGTGATATAATGGAAGCAGAACTAGGCCAGCAATCAAATGTTCTTATTTTGGATGCTGCCATTTACTAGTTATGCGGCCACAGGCAAGTGATTTACTTTCTCTGAGGCTGTTTCTTCACTTTAGAAAATGGGGGTGGTGATGGCCTTCTTTTTAGGGCTCTTGATATGAATATTAGATGAAGTCATTAGACTCTTTTGTGAAGAGTAAAATGTTACCTTGACAATGGTGATAATGGTGGTGGATGATGAAGATGACTTCTATGATGAGAATTTGAACTAGACTCTGTGGGGTTTCTCTGATTCATTCTTTCTTTCTACCTGTTACTTGGGGGAAGGGAAATTTATATCTCTTTGTTGCAAGGACTCCAATTCCTTGTGTCTCCTCTTGTATTTTGTTCCCATAATTCCTTTTCTCATGATCCCTCCACAGATGTCAGGGCTATTGCTGAAGGTGGGAATCTTGTACATTGGTGGGAAGCTGGTGACAAATGGGGCTATAAGCAGTGGAAATCTTGTTGCATTTGTTCTCTACCAGACCCATTTCACGTCAGCTGTTGAGGTGAGTCCCTCGAGTTTCACTCCCTAATACTTCCCCTTCCCCCATCCCACCTCTGCGTTCCTTGCCTTCCATTCTTTATCCTTCTTCTATCACATAACCTTGGCAAGCAGATTAAGTCTCCCCACAGGCTTCTCATTATTAATATCTCCCCTCCAGGTTCTGCTTTCCTACTATCCCCAAATCCAGAAGGCTGTGGGCTCATCAGAGAAAATATTTGAATACCTGGATCGGACCCCTTGCTGCCCAGCCAGTGGTCCTTTGGCTTCCTTAAACTTGGAAGGCTATGTCCAGTTCCAAGATGTCTCCTTTGCCTACCCAACCCAGCCAGATGTCCCAGTGCTGAAGGTACAACTTACCAATGCCTGCATCTCAACATCTCTACTCTCAATTCGACCATAATAAGCGTTCTTCCTGCCCTCTGCTTAATTAACACTAAGCACAGAAACTCTGTAATTCTTCAAAGGCAAAGTTAAGCATTATCTGCTTCACAGAAGTTCCCCAAACCCAAGAACCAGTTTGGACTTCTAAGGAGAATAGAAGAGGAGGCTTTCAGGGAGAAGGTTCTTGTAGTCTAAGAAATTGCTGCAGCAGAATCTGTGGCTTTCATTTTTCCATCTTTCCTTTTTCTTTCCACAGTGGAATGCTATTTTTTTTTTCCTGCTCTCTGGTGGTATCTGACATCAAATGTGTGGCACAGTGGTGCTCAGCTTGCCTCATATTCTATCTCTGTTCTTTGAAAGTGGTTAAATTTCCCATTTTCCTCCTTTCTTCTCTGGGGTAAGAAGACATCATGCTATGTAACAAGACAATGATAGTCCCCAGGTTAGGGGCTTCAGTCTGTCTTTCATTGTCTGCCTGGTCTTCAGGGGCTGACGTTCACCCTTCGTCCTGGTGAGGTGACTGCTCTGGTGGGGCCCAATGGGTCTGGGAAGAGCACAGTGGCTGCCCTGCTGCAGAATCTCTACCAGCCCACAGGGGGCCGGCTGCTGCTGGATGGGGAGCCTCTTCCCCAATACGAGCACCGCTACCTGCACAGACAGGTGAGTAAGAAGGTGGCATAGGGAGGATGTTGTTGTTGTTATGTGGTTCTGACTCATAGAGACCCTGTATAGGGTTTCCAAGGAGAGGCTGGTGGGTTTGAACCACTGACCTTGTGGTTAGCAGTCCAATGCTTAGCCTACAGTGCTACACACACAAGTAGTTCATAAGGAGAATGAGGAACATCAAGTAAGAAGAGCATTCTCACTGAACACTCTGAAAGGAGGCTCTGTGAATGGTAGAAGACCATAAGGGGAAAGGATGTGTGATTTTATAATATGTTCTTAATAAAGATTTTGAATCTTCAGTCCTAAGGTAAACATCCTCCTTCATTCCTTGTTTTGAATATTTATCATATTTCATTCCAGGTGGCTGCAGTGGGACAAGAGCCACAGCTCTTTGGAAGAAATCTTCGAGAAAATATTGTCTACGGCATGACCCAGGAGCCAGGTATAGAGGAAATCACAGCTGCTGCAAAGGCGTCTGGAGCCCACAGTTTCATCTCTGGATTCCCTCAGGGCTACGATACAGGTCCGCTCGCCACCCGTCTCACTTCCCAAATGCCATTACCCCAATGCTGAAACCCCAATATTTTTCTTTCATTCTTCAGTTCCTCCTGTCTCAGTGACATCAATTTGAAGTTACAACAAGATTCTTATTCCTATGGCTCCTTCATTCTAAAAACTTTATTCACTTTCCCCTAGCCTCCCCTAATTAGTCCTTGGGGTATATGTGTGTGTGCATGCACACTTGCAATGTGTACACACAGGTAGTTACTCTGCTTTCCTCTTGACTTTTGTTTCTGCAGAGATAGGAGAGTCTGGGGGTCAGTTATCAGGGGGTCAGAGACAGGCAGTGGCTTTGGCCCGAGCATTGATCCGGAAACCACGGGTACTCATCCTGGATGATGCCACCAGTGCCCTGGATTCAAACAATCAGTCACGGGTGAGAATTACCGTCTTAATGCTTATATTTCACCAAAACTTTCTTCCTTTATTCATCCTATGTGAGTCAGACTAACACCATACTTAACCAAACTAGTCCTTTTTCGCCCTCTTAACTTCTCCAGATCACCTAGTTACTATTAACCTCTCTGCAGGATCCATCACCAAACCAGACTCAGTGCCATTGAATAGATTCTAACTCACAGTGACCCTGTGTAGGTTTTCTCAGACTAAATCTTTATGGAAGCTGAAAATCTCATCTTTCTCCCATGGATCAGCTGGTAGGTTTGAGCTGCCAACATTGTGGTTAGCAGTTCAGTACTTACTCTACTGAGCCACCAGAGCTCCTACCAGTTAAAAGTGACTGTCTACTGACAATGAATCTCTGGACCCAAGCACAAGAAAAGGCCATCCTCATAGTATTAACTAAAATGAATTCAGCTTTTAACAGGTGCCAGATATAGTACTAGGCCCTTTAAAATACCACTTCATTCATTCATTCATTCATTCATTCATTCATTCATTCATTCATATAAATCTTTGTGATCTGGGTGCTAATATCCTCATTATACAGATGACAGAGTAGAGGCTGAGGAAGGTTGAAGAATCTGCTCAAGGTCATGCAGCAGTTGAGCAGCAGAACGTGGACGAAAACTCAGGTCTGCCTGACGTAAATGCTCATGCTTGTTACCACTAATTAAAACAGCATATGGAAATTCCTAGATCATGACTAGAGGAGAGACTGTTCAGAACCTTTCACTCTTTTCCTATGGATTTCATTGCAGGGCTCCCTTACTTTTATACTCCCCCCCCTCCATCTCATGTAAATATTCCTTCACACAACAAATATTTGGCAGAGAAGCAAATCTTGGGTCTCCTCAGAGTTGCTGGCAGAGGTGGCAATGATCCTGCTAAGTCTGGGAACACAGCTGTCTTCCTGAGAGTAACCCCCAGCTCTAACAGAATCTCTTTTTCAGGTTGAGCAACTCCTGTACCACAGCCCCCAACGGCACTCCCGATCTGTGCTTCTCATCACTCAATGTTTAAGCTTGGTGAAGCAGGCTAGCCAAATCCTCTTTCTGGAAGGGGGCACCATTTGTGAGGCAGGAACCCACCAGCAGCTCATGGAGAACAAAAGACACTACTGGGCCATGGTACAGGCCCCTAGGGGGGGCAGCTGCTCCAGAATGACAGATTTCATGGACACTTCATTTTCTTCCACTACCGCACCACCCCTTTTTTACCCTGGTGGAGAATTTGAGAACACAGCAGAGTAGGCAGCTGCTTCTGGAAGGAATTACATCTTAAAATGTAACCCCCTTGATGGTGCCTGAAATTCTGCCATGAGTGTTAACATTGTCCTTCTCTTCAAGAACCACTTGAGAATGCGGACTTCCTGCACCACGAACATTGGATTTGTAACTCCTTAGTGTCACTGGGATTAATGCTTTGGTGTGGACAGCACTCTGAAAATGACAAGATATTCACAAAGGGGAAATCAGTTAATTTCTAATGTTACCATTATTAATGGCATTATGCTGGCCTATAAATAACTTGTGAATTACTGATATGTATAATAAAACGGGTATTTTGTACTGTGATTTCCAGTGTCTTTCTGGTACACCTCACAAGGCAAGCAAGACCTCAGACAACACCCTCCAAGGTACCGGCAGCTGCAGTTCAGAACCGTGGACTTTCTGAGGTGGAAGATGGAGGGCGGGCGAGGCCTTCTCTTTCTACACCACCTAGCCCGCTCTGGTCCTTTCAGTGCTTACGGTGTTGGAAAATTAGCTTGCACCTGCCAGGGTAATCTCAGAATAGGAGGCGTGATTGTTTCCGACATCTTCCAATTAGGGAGGGTCAGAGTCGTGTGGCGTTGATAGTTGCTGGGCAGATTTGGTAAACACAGGTTGCAAAGAGAGGCGGAGTTTAATACTCAGCCGAGGAAGAATTACGCGAGACGGGCAGAAAGGGCGCGTTCATGTGGGTGGCTACAGGTTAAGGCGACGGTTGAACTGGGAGGTGTCCTAAGAGGACCACGTAGAGAAATTCAGAGATTGCACCCTATCCTTGGCGCTCCTTTCTCCGCTACACTCTTGGGTATAGTCTGTTGCCAATTGTCCTAACATGTGCAGTGAAGACTGAAGCCCCCACGTACTCTTACCCTTTCCCTATTTTCATTAAATTATGCTTTTACTGACCTCCCACCACCTACTCGAAACTGCTCCCGGCCCGTCTGCCGACTTCCAGCTTTCTGGTTGAGGCTGCCTTTAGAAGATATCACCCCTACCCCCTCATTTACTGTTAACAGAGGATGTCCAGCCTGTAGACATCTTTCGATGTAGCCTCTTTTCCTTCTTTATCTCTTGTCTTCCTTTCTCCTGACACTCCCCTACTCCTGGTTCCCTTAACCTCCATGAAGCTGCAGCACAGAAGTCTTGGCGCCAACATGATAGGATTCCGGGCTCTTCGGCATCCACTGGTGTGGCGCTGCGGGTTAATGCGCTGGACTGCAAGGTGGGTTTGAACCGCAAAGTGAGAGGTTCAAGCTCACCAGCCGCTCCTCGGAAACCCTGTACAGGGTCGCTATGAGTCGGAATCGACTCCGCGGCACTTAAATAACAGCACTGCTCTCTTCTCGGAAAAGGCTGGGGGGTGAGGAAGAAAAAAAAAATTCTGGTTCCCTCCCCTTCGGCCTGAGGCTTTCGCTTTCACTTCCTCCTCTAACGGCGGACAGATACCGGGTGCGCGAGATCATGGCGCTCTTGGAGGTGTGCGGAGCCCCCCGAGGGCAATGCGAAGACTGGGCTCTCCCAGGAGCAGGAAGCAGGCATCGCTCGGACCCGGGACACTACAGTTTCTCAGTGCGATCTCCAGAGCTCGCCCTCCCTCGGGGAATGCAGGTTGGGGCTGCTGGGAATCCCCAGAGGATCTGGGGAGGGAGGCACCGAAGAATGGAGAGGTTGCTTTGGGACTGCCCCGCAGCGGGCCTCGCATAAGGGGTCTTACTTTAGGCCCTGAGAGCAGTGTCCCTGTTCTCTGGAAGAACCAACGACCCCGGGAGAAGCCACGTGTGTGTGTGTGTGTGTGTGTGTGTGTGTGTGTGTGATCGCCTGAGGGTTTGGAATTGCCGGCTAGGCGATAACCAAAGATTTATAGGTGAGGTGAGGGCGCCTAGACTTACAGGTGAGGTGAAGTTCTATGTCCTTTTTCCACCGCACAAAAATCATGAAGCCTTTTTCATGGGTTTATCATATGCCTTGGAAAACCTATGAACTTTGGCGTCTTGCCTGGCCTAGCCCCAACAGTTCTTGTGTGGCTGAATCAAATCACTTACTCAGTCTGGGTCTCAGATCCCTCTTCTGTAAAATGGCAATGCTAAATGAGCTGTGGGTGGGAAAACATTACAATCACCCTTCAGTTCTTGGCTATGGTAACATTTATTTGCATTCATCTCTATTGCACTAGAAAATGAAAATTTTGGTGTCATGTGACTCTTTTCTTCTCTCAAGACGTTTCCTCCTTTAGATTAGTTGTTAACTGTTCTATTTATCTGTGATTGGGGACTTGATATCCCCTCAACCTCATACTCTAAAGCCATTGCCTGGAACCTCCTGAAACAAAATTGCCCCTTTCTCTACTCTTCTTTCATTAGCCCAGGGAATTCTTCCAGTCCTTGGGTGGAGACAAAGAAAGAAATGTTCAGATTGAGATGGCCCATGGCACCACCACGTTGGCCTTCAAGTTCCAGCATGGAGTGATTGTGGCTGTGGACTCCCGAGCATCGGCCGGGAGTTATATTGGTGAGTGTGTGTGTTCCAGTGGGCAAATTCTGGAGAACTGGACCCTCCTATCAGTAGGAGCCCAATAACTGCATCAATCTGGAGAATATATTGATTTAGTACACACAAGAAGAGCTGTGGGACCATCGTCCCTCTCTCAAAACTATCTTCTTCTAGACACTTTGCGGGTGAACAAGGTGATTGAGATTAACCCATATCTGCTGGGCACCATGTCTGGTTGTGCGGCTGACTGTCAGTTCTGGGAGCGTCTACTGGCCAAGGAGTGCAGGTGAAACTTCTCATCTCCCTTTCTAAGCCTAGTGCTCAATCCCTGGGTGCCCCAGATAACTGCTTCTCACTATTTCCCCTGTTTTTCTGCTTAGTACTAATATAGCACTTTACAAAACAGCCTTTGGTGATAAGACCCCCTCCCTCTCCACCCCAAATCTCAGTCTGTGCTCCTGCTAATGAGCCAATGATTTATCACTTACACCATCAATTCTGGTGGGAAATGTAATTTGTTAGAATTGCTATTTGTACTTAAAAAACTCCACTGCCATCAAGTCAAGTCTGATGCATAGTGAACCTATATAGGGTTTCTGAGACTGTAAATCTTTAAAGGAGCAGAAAGCCTCATCTTTCTCCTGTGGAATGGCTGGGGGTTGGAACTGCTGACCTTGGGGGTTAGCAGTTTAGTGCTTATCCTACAGTGCCACTTAAATTTCAAATTTCTCTGGATTCTTGTTGTTGGTAAGTGTTGTCAAGTCACTTCAGATTCATATTGACCTTGTATAGGTTTTCTAAGGAGCGGCTGGTGGCTTTGAATTGCTGACCTTGACGTTAACAATCCAGTGTTTATCCTACAGCACCACACCTGAGCCTTGTTGTTAGTGCCATCAAGTTGATTCCGACCCATAGTGACCCTGTATAGGGTTTCCAAGGAGCAACTGGTGAGCTTGAACCACTGACCTTGCAGTTCAAAAGAGTTTGCAGTTTGACGCATTAGCCCATAGCACCACACCAGGACACCTGAGCCTTAGATCCTACAAAAGAATTCCTTTCAAATGCTTACCTCTCCAAGCATTTCCTACCCCATCAAGTGGGTTGCTCAGAGAGCTAACCTCCCTGCCTTTCTGTACTACCTTCCAGGCTGTACTATCTACGGAACGGGGAGCGCATCTCAGTGTCAGCAGCCTCCAAACTTCTCTCTAACATGATGTGCCAGTACCGGGGCATGGGCCTCTCCATGGGCAGCATGATCTGTGGCTGGGACAAGAAGGTGAGTACTCTTCACTCCCCCTTTTCTCCATTGTACATCCCCATCCTTCCTTTATAAGACCCATGACATACAAAGAAGCAGTGATGCCTGAGATGGAGGCAGAGACGATGACTTGGAGAGATGGAGTGGCTGGGGACTTTTGATCCAGAGAGGGAAAGGGGCTGTGTGCTGATGACCTGGGGGTGGGGGGGGGTGGCAGGCTTGCAGGATATACCCTTTGGTTGGTTGATGATGCATGGACAGGATTATAACTATGGCAATGAAACAATATATGATAGAATGAATGTAAAACCCGTGGTCTCCCATGTAAACGATCACATAATTCACAATAAAACATTTATTAAAAAGAAAACAATGATAAGTCAAAAAATATTGCTAAAATCTAATAAAAACTTTTATTAAACACACACACAGAAGACCCATGACATACAAAATGCTTGATTGCAGAACTGTTCCAGTGTGGCCATTTTTTGGTCCAGTTATGGGCCAACCAAGCTTGTCTGTGTTTCCTAAGCTTGTCTCTATTGATAATGCAGTTGATTCTAAGTGTGCTTTCCTTTTTTTATTTCAAAAGTTCTATGATTGTTACCTAAGTGCTATCCTCACCCATATGTTCCCGTGGTAATTTTCATTTTTTTGTACACTTTTTATGATTCACACTTGAACCTCTATTTTACCAATCTTCCTTTGTCAGTTTCAACCTGGAACTTCTTTTTATCCCACAGGGTCCTGGACTCTACTATGTGGATGAGAATGGGACTCGGCTCTCAGGAAATATGTTCTCCACGGGTAGTGGGAACACTTATGCCTATGGAGTCATGGACAGTGGCTATCACCCTAACCTTAGCCCTGAAGAGGCCTATGACCTGGGCCGCAGGGCTATTGTTCATGCCACCCACCGAGACAGCTATTCTGGAGGAGTTGTCAATAGTAAGAGACCAAAGCTGACCACCACCATGCCCTGGAGAGTGTTGGGTGGGGGTGAGAATTCAGAGTCAGAAGAAGGGCACTGAAGTCCCAGTAATAAGGGCCTTGAATGTGTTCTGAATGAACACATGCGAATGGACCACCTTTTTGTATAACATCATTAATAGAAACATGCTGAAGAGGAATGTGATTCCCTGTTCTTTCCCCATTTGCCCACAGTGTACCACATGAAGGAAGACGGATGGGTAAAAGTGGAAAGCACCGATGTCAGTGACCTGATGCACCAGTACCGAGAGACCAGTCAGTAATGGTGAAGTGGCTGAGTTAGGTCTCTTCTGGGAGAGCCTGGCCTGACTCAGGGAACTGGGCCAGCTTTAGCCCCAGGAGAAGAAGGGTCCTAACCTGAGCTCAGAAAAGTTGGCTTGTTGGCCAGTGGGAGCTGGTAGAATTCATCTTTTTGTGAGTTCTTTATTTCAGCACCCTACCTCTACTCTGCACCTTCTGGGCATTCTGTTAAGCACAATAAAGGAAAACAGTTATAAACGTCCCTGTGTTGTGGCTGAGTAGGGTTGTGGATGTGGTTGCTATGTGTGAGGAAGAAGCACAAGAAATAAAGAAACTGCTATGTCGTCTGTTGTTAGTGGTTTGGGTGTTTGGGAGTAAGGCACTGACAACAACGGTTTTTTGACTTTGTAGAGTGAAATGAAAAAGCTTGCACTCAACATGTACGTGGTAATCGCAAACACCGTACCAGTTACCTCAAGCAGCAGTTAGAATTAGTGAATCTTGACTGCGAACATAGACATTGTTGTTGTTGTTAAATGCCATCGAGTCGGTTCCGACCCATAGCGACCCTATATAGGGTTTCCAAGGAGCAGCTGGTGAGCTTGAACTACGAACCTTGCAGTTTAAACAGCTTAGCAGTCTGGCACATTAACCCACAGCGCCACACCAGGAACACAGACATTAGGGGCTCAATTTCAACATATGTCACATTTCATTGCAAGATGACAGGACATGACTGAAGAGGAGGAAGAGCTAAGAGGACTCTGAAGTGGTGAATATGAGGAAGAAGCAAAAGAACCATGTTAGAAAATAAGAGAACATATGAGATTTTCTGAATTATGTTGGAGTTCCAGGAAGACAGCACATTTTAGAGGGGAATTAGCTTGCTTGAAAGCAGGAAGCAATTGAGTGTGGAGTTTTGCTTTTTTTGTTTTTTTCCTTATTGGAGAAAGATCCTTACAATCCTACAAATGGATAGGGTTGGAGCAACCAGAATAGCTATTGCTGGAGTAAACAAACTTGCATGTTCCCTATGTAGGTTCTGCATCAGGCAGGACCACACAAACCTATTCTAATCAGTGCTGAAGTAGACTGAGACATTTCCCTTGCATACTGAAGGTGCTCTCCAAGTGATTTGGAGGACACATTTGGAGGCTTTTAAGCATGTGCCCTACTTGATAAGGTGCCCTGTAGAGAAAGAGAATGAAGTTCAGTGCTTATCCTATAGCGCCACACCAGGACGCCGGTGAGAGAGTTGCCTTTCTATTTAGGAGAGGGCTAAAACTAAAGCTTCCACACAACCAGACAGTTCTTAAAACAGACCTTGAGGAAGTAAGTGACAGAATGCAGTGGTTCTCCGATAATAAAGAATTCTTGCAACAGAAGAATTGATGCAATGATAATTTAACAACAACAAACTCAGTAGTTTCATATTACAAAGCATCTGTTGCTAAGAGCGAGACTCATTTAGAGGCATGGCAAGTGTAAACGGGAATTCATGAACTTGGCTCTGTGGTCTGTGGGTTTTGCGCGCCCCCTCGTGGTCGCCACACCCTGGCCAAGGATAAAGCTAAAGAAGCGAAAGCGAAAGCGACACAAGTCGGGAAACGCTGGGTGATGAGGGGAAAACCAAATAGGGGTAGCTGAAGCGGAAGATCTCAGAGCTTAATGATCAGTCCCTGATC